GTTCCTGTTTTGTCAAAACAGCAAATCTCCACTTTCCCAGCAAATGGTATCCTGAAAGGCTCTGTGCAAAATACATCTGAGGAGTAGAAAAAGAAGAATGAAACATTGCTGTTACAAGTTTTGTTTTATAAGCTGCCTTTCCAAGTCTTCACAAGTTTTTACATCTAAATCTAATCTAAATGCCTAAATGTTTGAAACTGACCATCTAAACAAAATCATAGGAATTTGTTCAGCTTTTTGTTTTGCCATTTTTCTTTCTCATATGTAGCAGATAGCAAGAGACTGTCCGTGTCACATGGAAATACTGTGGGTGCATTCAGGCTTGACACAGACTTTGTGCTACGGAGCTGGCAGGGTAAAACTGGTTTAATATCTGATCAAACTAATGTGGCCATTTTCGTTTTCACATTCAGCGCTGATATCTAGGAAAGTTTAAGGCTATAGTGCACATCTTATATTCAACAAACAAACACAAGTCATGCACACAGACTTACAAAGTTTAGCTAGGGCAATAAGAGATGTGTTAACTGCTAGAGAAAGCTCTATGGGAAGTTCTGGTGGAACCACTGAGGTGAGGATAAGCGTGCACTCCAGAAAGAGCTTGTATCGGTTTCTGCTTAGGTCCTTGGTCCCTAACAGGATGAAAGCACAAGTACATAGATACAATTTATTCCAGACACATGACGTGTTAGTTATGAATTACATCTCAGTAAGCTCATTCTTGGCCTCTCACCTTCAACCCACACATAAACAGCAGCAGCAATGGCAAACACAAGAAGGAAAAGAATGAAGATGAAGGTCTCCAGGTTGTTCGCTGTCACTCTCTTCACACCAAAGAGAATTGTCCTTAACAGTTTACCCTAGAGGCAAGTTTGACAACACACATTTAATACAGTTTCGGGTATGACATAACACAGACTATAGATTGCTATCAAAACTAGAATATAAATGCAGTAAGCAAATTCCTGACCTGAGAGGTGTAGAATCCTGTTCTCAGTACGTAGGCTACACAACCATTGTCTACCGCTGCACATAAAGAAGAAGACTTTAAAGCATGCACCTAATCTTAAAAAGATATATAATACATAATCATTATCAGGAATCATTTACAGAAAATGGAATTAGGACTTACGCTTGAGTCCAGCACTGGCTTTTAAAGGCGGGCTATGCTGAACTACTTTAGTCCCACCAGAGATGACATGGAGGCGAGAGTCTGTCTGAAGATCCAGGATTCTTTCTGGGTCCAAGTCCTCAATTGGCTCCTGATCACCACATATTTTTAGCAATTAGCTGAGCTACACAAAGACTAATGCCATTTTGAATAATTAGACATTGTAATCACCTATATGTTTCTAACCTTCATCTGGGGCACAGATTCTCCAGTTAGCATGGCCTCATCCACAATGCAACGGCCCCTAAGCAGCAACACATCACATGGGACCAAGTTGTCCTGTGGTGAGCGCCCTATTAGGTAGAGAAGTAGAGAATATACATTTAGCCACAGCTAAACAGAGTTAAGTTGATTTTTGTGTTGAGAAATCATGAAAACATTGACTGGAGACTCACCAATTGAGACAATGTCTCCAGGGACAAGTTCGTCACTAGAAATATGTCTCCACTTCCTGTTGCGATATACCTGTCAAAAAATACATGTATTTAATATGGGCTGCTTTAAATACTTGCACTGATTAAACAAAACATTACAAGAATCCTTGATGAGCTTGCTACCAAATCTCAAATCAATTAAGGCAAGAGAACTACAAATCACAACGCTCAGTGATGCTTTCAGCATAGCTTTGTATTAGCCATGGTCCTGTGTTAAAGCAAGCATGAATCAGATTTGTTCCAACACTCTGACCCTGGTTCTTTGGTCCCTTCTCAGACCAGTGTCACTACCTGCTAACCACTGATTATGTGGCCATTATTAAAATTAGGTTTTTAGAACTGCGCATTTATCCCACAACAAGTATATTCACTGTAAGAACCAACTCTTCACTTAACATCTAATATATTTTAGATGTTGACATGTTATGATAATTAATGTAATTGCAGGATTTCTTTGGCTTGTCCGCAATATTGACAATAATGTTTTTGCTTTATACTTTCAAAACATATCATACAAAACAATAAAATACATCAACCCTACCTGAATCATATAGGGCTTGTTTCCCATGCGCCGAATCTCTGACATATTTCTCATTTGCTGCTGGACCAGAGAGGCCTCAAATGCCACCAGCATGAACAGTGTGAAAACACTGTAGTACCAGTACTCATCCAGGCACCACAGCCCCACACAAAACACCTGATATATGGACGAAGGTGCGTAACAATACATGAATGCAAGAATATTTATATATATTTTTGAAATATAAAACCTGTCAAATACTTCCACACATACCTGGAAAACAAAAAAGGGAGCTGTGGCCCTTTCTTTGAAGAGCTCCAGAAAATCTGGAACAATCATTTCAGCACGATTGGTGCCATAACGCTTCTCTGCAGCTTTGAGCTCAGTCTCCTCCTGGTAGCCACGCCAGGATTGAAAGTATCCCAGTGGGTTACTTATGGGAAATGCTATTGGAAGGAAACATTTCTTTTCTTTGTAGTCAAAGGTGTAGCGGATCTTTTGAAACTCGAAAGACAGAGTTCTTTCCCCGTTTTCATCCTGTTGGACAAAATAAGAAATTGTATACTGAAGCATTCACAAAAGGCTGAAAGGCACTTGATACTCCTTACAATTTTCACATCATGTCTAATTATAGAAAATTATATGTACTCTCAAGTAGGGGAATATTTTAGAAAAAGATCCAACAAAGTTGTGGCCTTTTCAGTGGGTAAACTGAAAATGGTTTATCTCCAGTATACCAGTGTATCTGCTATGAAAGCGAACCTAACACTGAGCACTTTGTCAAGACTGCAGAGACAGCAAGACAACACTTTCCCATTTAACTTCTGTTACTACTCAAGCATGATACATGGGACTATCAATGCTGCAGACTGTAAGCTATTAAAATTACTTTCCTTGCCTAAAGTAAAACCAAAAACCTTCCCAGAAGGTTCACACATAAGCAGCATTCATAAGAAAGTGACAAAGGAGACAGTGTTGCTTCAAAACCTTGGGATTTGTCAACAGGAAGCATGCTCCAGATCAACAACAAATCCACATCATTTCAGAGGATGCCAGGAGTAAATTATGTGCACTGACCTGGTCCCTCTGTAGTGCTACTAGCTCCGCGGAGCCATTGTTGGGGGTGGGTATGACCTTTGCCAGCGTAGCCTTTTCTGGGTCTGGCTCCTGCAGACGTCAAAAAAGACAGGTGACAAATTCACACACAACACTTATTTTTGGCATAGTCGTGTGCCTCATGAATTTTGTTCCTCTAAAATAAAGCATTCCCTGATGTACAGCAAACATGCATTTCAGGCAGAATGTGAAAATGCACTTGTTCATTATATTTTGTGGGCTTTTAGTCTTTATTGTATTAAGAAAGTAAAGAGAAGACAAGAAAGCACAGTAAGTAGCCTCAGGGCAGATTTAACCTGCTAAACTATACTGGGACCTCAATATAAAAATATACTTAACTTTTATGTCTGACTGTAAAATTGAGCTTGATTACGTTATTGATGCAAATATAACTTTGATTTTGTGAAGGGGAAACTATTCTTATGCAGCTGCTTGCTAAGTAAACACAGAAATGCTGAGCACCAGGGTTTTCTTCCCCCCCCCCCATATTAGGTTTGCTTTACTTAGTTGGACATAAAAAACAAACAAACAAACAAATAAGATTATGCAAATATTTCACATACTCATTGCTTTTCTGTACACAGACCACTTGTGTTTAGATACATAATACGCCCACCAGTTATTGGTGTGGAGGCTTCGATCCTAGTCAAGAAATGTTCCTATATAAACTTTCAGCAATAAGTCAATCTCCCATTGGTAGGATTAAAGTCACGTATGTTTTTACGCCTTTTTTGATCCACATCTGCCCCGTTTTAGAACACAGTGAATTTGGAAATAATGTCCAAAAGTATACTGAAGACTTTAAATGAAGGTAATAAATGTTGTAGTGAAGATTTAAAATACGATTTTATAAGGGAAATGTGGAGATGTACGGTGAAAGTTTGGTCACTTGTGTCCATGAAATTAGTGTAGTGATTATAACCAGAAAACCTGTTCTGCTCCACTGGTTTCAGACACCTGTACCTGCACTTGAGCTCATGATGTTCCTGACCTTTGACATAGACAAACACAGAGGGGCAAACCAGTGGGATCTATTTGGATATCAGCAGGCTTAATAAGATATTTATTAATTATGTTTACCTTTGAACAAGTGAGCCAACAATGCGCGTGCACAGACCAATAACCGGAAAGTGCTGTGAGGACGTGCGCGATCCCGATAGCAGCTAACGCCAGGAGGCCTGCCTCTGGATAATCTGGGGCTCCGTACACTCCTAGCCATACGTACAGCCAGCCCGGGTAGAGAAAAGCCAGAAACGGGAGCACAGTGCCGTGCAGCAGTCGGGGCCTTCGCCTGTACAGCGTCACCGAGCTCACCAGCTCATCGCCGGTGCCGCTGTCATGCTGGTTATGGTTCACAGAGGGGGCCATTTGCAGCTCACCCGGTCCCCGGATTTCGTCTGCAGCCATTCTCCCGTCTTTCTTGGTGTCGTTCATCGTACTGTGCTCGCCCCTCTGGCCCCCTCTATCATCCACCACCACCCGTCGTGCTGTAGCCTGTAAAAATACGAATCTACACACGGAACGGTGAGCGGTTTTGCCCTCAGAGCCCGTTTACTGAATCGCTCGCTCTCACGGCCGTGTCTTCCGCATACGTAACGACGTAAAGACACGTAATGTTCTAGCTGGCACAACGCGATTGAACCGGGAAAAACAACGTTGTTTTTTTGTTTTTACCTCGAAATACTTGTAAAATTTACTGTTTAAAGTAAACATTAAAAACATCAACACTTCTAAATATAGGGGTGTATCTGGCAAAATGTAGACTTTATTTGCATGTTAATCGAGCAAGTGGCTTTCCCCTTTAAGGAAAGTGACGTCACTGTAGGGGCGTAGCCAGAGTGTGTGACTGATGCAATCCTGAACCAATAAGATTATAGAAACATTGGCGTTCCTGTCCAGGCATGGTTCCACATGCAGAAGTAGTGGTGGTGTAACCTTGGCTGATTAGCGTCCTCGTTTCAAACACCATAAAAGAAGCAACATGTAAGAATTTAAAAGAATCAGTTACACAATGTATACGTTGTATTTCCTAGATAAAGAATCTAATGTAACTAATTACAAGTATTTGTTGCATCCTCCAGAAAAGTACTTTATCGTGTTGAATTTACTGCACACAGGAGTGATAGTTCTTATCTGTTCTCACGCACTGGTTTAAATAAATCTGTCACCTTTCAGGCAGGCTGCTATGGATATAACTGCAAAGTACTGCCGTAAAGAAATGGAAGCGTATGGGTTATGTGTAGCCTCCAATCCATCAACATGGCAGCAGAAGTGTCACGAGCTGAAGATGAATGTTGCACAATGTACATCATCACAGTAAGTCCATTTATTTGTTCTGTCATTCCTATTCGAGTGATTCTGGCATCCTGCTGTAAATATTTTCCAGGCGTATTTTAATCTAACCCCTAACTATGTTAAGCCCAGTCATCCAGAAGATCAGGCAGGAGTGTTCCAATGAGTTTGTGGAGTTTGAGCGCTGCCTGAGAGAACATCAGGGACAACCTGTCTCCTGCTCGCCACATGTGGCTCGCTTTCTGGGCTGTGCAGAGACAGTCGACCTCAGTGGAGTGGGTACGTTTTTCAGTGTGTTTTTTATGGAAATAGGTTGTGCATGCTGGTTTTTCATGCATCATAATATAAAACAAATTTTGAAGACACTAATGTTTGCAAAAATAATAATAATATTGCATAAGCTTTAGTTGCCAACATACCAAACGATTATTTTTATCTTTTCCAGCTACAAATCCAGTATCTCAACCATCTTAGCACAGGATGTCCTCCATTACCAGAAAAAACCTGTATCTACACCACTGCCACCAGGTGGGCTGGTTTCAAATGTATTCCAGACATGTATGTACAGTGGCTGATAGAATACAATACTTCCCAATTCCTACTTCCTAATTTTATTTTGCATATTTATCACATTTACATGTTTCAGACCATCATCATCATTTTAATATTAGACAAAGATAACCTGAGTAAATACAAAATGCAGTTTTTAAATGATCATTTATTTTGTTAAATCATCATTTAAACCAGGGGTAGGCAACTCCAGGCCTCGAGTGCCGGTGTCCTGGAGGTTTTAGATGTGTCCATGATCCATCACAGCTGATTTAAAGGGCTAAATGACTCCTCAGCATTTCTTGAAGTTCTCCAGAGGCCTGGTAATGAGCTAATCATTTGATTCAGGTGTGTTAACCCAGGGTGGGATCTAAAACCTGCAGGACACTGGCACTCGAGGCCTGGAGTCGCCTACCCCTGATTTAAACCTACCTAACCCTAGCTGAAAAGCCTAAATGTAATAACTGATTGTGCTACCTTTGGCAGCAAGAATTGCAATCAAGGGTTTGCAATGACTGGCAATAAGTCTTTCCTTTTAATTCAGCTGAGCTGCAGGGTTTTCAAGGATGAATGACCTGCTTTAAGGTCATGCCAAAGCCACCTTATTGACTAGGCCACCCCAAATCTTCATTTTGTTTTGTTTGTTTTTTGCAAGGTCACACTTGCTTGTGTGCTTGGGGTCACTGTCCTCATGCATAAACCAAATGTGCTTGATTAGGTTCTTGGGTAATGGAGTCAGACAAATTTGATGTGCACTTGATGACGCTTCCATCAGTCAAGTCGTTCAGGTGTTGAAGCAGCAAAGCAGCCCCAAAACATCACACTACCACCACCATGGATGACTGTTGGTAGGATGTTCTTCTTCTGAAATAGTGTGTTGATTTTATGATGTTAGGAATTACTTTTTCATGTTTCTTTTTCATGAGTTTGGATAGCTTTTCCCCCCTTAAATAATTTAAATAATTTACAAAGTGTATTTTATTATTTATTGGATTATTGTCTTAAATTTGTTTGATAGTCTGAAACATGTAATTGTGACAATTATGCAAAAAAAAAAAAAGACAACATCAGGAAGTGGGCAAATACTTTTTAACAACTGTATTTATTTAAATTTGCGTTAGTACTGTGGGTTACATGATTGCATGAAGTATTTAATTGCTGTGTCATTCCCTAATTTCTCATGTAAATTTTATGATTTAAAAATAAGATTTATGTCTCTGAATGTGAGAAAGTCAGGTGTGTACTGATTTATTGAACAGTTTCATTAAAAAAATGACCTTAGACTTCTAATACTCTTCTGATGTTGTCATCCTCTTATTGTTTCTGTTTCTTGTGCCTATTCCTCCCACCCGTGCCCTCTTCAGGTCTGAGTCAGAGTCAAATATTAAACTGGAATGTATTGCTCCCACACAAACTATCCTGGCTACTCAGTGACTGAGCAATAGGGAGTCTGGGAAGAAAGGAGAGGGCTGTCCAGCTCTAATCAGTGGGACTACTGAAAGAGACAGAGGGAGGATGTTGAGTTATGAACCCTGTGACCACTAAGCAGAACAGACATTTTCTGGTTGAGTTATTAAAGTTTTGAGTGGAAAGACTGAGAGGAAACTGATTCCTTGCTTTTAAAGTGCATCTTTGTTTCATACCATTTGAGCAAGTGATAAATGCGTCATCATTTATTGTATTTAGGACAAAGAAGCCAAGTGTTGTTCAAAGACGAAACCGCAGATTGTATTGAAGATACGGCAACATTACATTCAAAGCACATCACCTGGCAGTCACTGATCAAAAAAGTAAGATAAGAACTCATCTACTGCACAAATAAGTTACATTCACAATATTATCACTTTAAAAACACCATGAGTCAGTGATCAGAGTCAAACATAATGTCAGGAAGGAATGTCACAGGCTGTAGCCAATTACTGGCTTCTAAATGAAAAGAGTTTCACCCTAATCCTATTTTATTCTGCACCACTTCATGATTCTGATCCTGATGCCTTCTGCAACACTTGAATTTGGAGGCTATTTCTTCATACCTACTTGTGGCACATAAATATCATGCTACAGTTTAAATATTTGCTGATTATCACATAAGAAGATACGAAATACCTACCTAATGTGACTTTCTGAGAAGGAAATTATTACAGTTTGTGACTACAACAGTTAATTATAACACAGTCATACACACATTTACATTTGGAGTACCTTCATGTACCCAGTATCCTTCATTTGGGAAATTATATACCAAAGAGTTGAAATTTACTGCACTGTTTTTGAGTGATCACATTATAAAAGAGAAAGGAAAACTAAAACGATAACCACTTAAACAACCCTGTTTCCGCATAAGGCTCCTCAAATGACCCTGTAGAGTTTATAGCTAAATGCCAAAAAAAACCACTTTTTTTGGTCCATATTTTACCAGTCATGCAGTATGAAAAACCAAGGATATAGTTTGAAATAATTTTTCACAGAATTTCTTTGCAATCTCTGTCCTTCAAGTCATTGGGCAAGTTAAATTGTCATCCTATCCAGCACAATATCCTGAGTTGAGGCTCAGGTTCCACAAACATACACACTAACCTGAGAGCAAAAGTGTACTCCAATCCATATACAGTGCTGTATACGCTGCAGTCATTCACACAATAACTACTCTAGTCCTGGCAAAACAAAACAAAAAGTAATGCAATATACTAATTTAATTTAAACCCTCAGCTGCCCATCAGACCTGCCAAGACTGCTAATTATATGTGATTTGATTGATGAATTCACTTTCAGCAACCAATTATCATCTGTAATTCATGATATACATATTGATAGGTATAAGTGTCTTAATTTTTTTTTGTTGGAAAGTGCCATGAAGCATTTTTCATTAAACATTACATAAATACAACAGAGTAAACTGAGGTCCTTTATCTTGGACATTTACAGTGTCTGTATTTCCAGCATGTGATTCTTATCTGGGAAAGATGTGGGATCACTATGTTAATCTGCTGCAAATTGATATTATGACTAACTATGTCTAATTGATGTTAGCCTGTGATAAAAGCTTGTAAGTGTGTTTGGCTGTAGGGTGTTTCATGGAGAATGGTCCCACAGGCATGTTGATGGACAGACTCCATTAGCTGCATCTCTGAGGTGAAAGGTGAAACAGGAGGGGAAAGAGTGACAGTTTATAAGGGTCAGGAGGTGAAATAAGAGTTCTGCATGGAGTACAGACGGTCGATGGGATTTCCCACTCGCCCTGCCAGGAGACCGCCCTCCCCTGTTGCTAAGAGGCAGTCGCCAAGGTGACCAAGGCTTCCATCGCTGTCCAGGTCATGGAACACTGTTTCTGAGTCTGCAGTCAAAAGGAAGGAGAGTGTGGACAGCTGAAGTGAAAGAGTTTTTAGTGAGAGCAAGAAAAAAAAAGTAAAAGCAAATTATTATTTTTTTTGTAACTTTTATCTTTGTCTTTCTGCCATACCATAGGAGTGGAGCTGCTCGCTATTCAGTTGAGGTGGTGTAAGCCCATGTCGAAATGGCTCTCCACCATAAATGTTGGGGTCCAGAGCAAGGAGCTGCTGACGTGGCAGAGATGGATATCCCAGCATCCCATCCATGCCATGGGTACTAGATCCATCTATATAAAGATTCAAAATGCCCAAAACTTTAACCATACCAGTCTTTCTTTCCATCTTTTTTTCTTTCCTTCTTGATCTTGTACTGGTACTCAAAGCTCTTACCCTCGCTGTCGTCATTGCTTTGGCGGCCCCCTCTGCTCGGTCCCCTCCTGGTGCCTCCCAGCTGCTCTTGTTCCTGCTGCTGCTGCTGCTGCTGTTGCTGTCGGCGAGCTAACTTTTTCATCTGACGCACAAAAGCACACGGTGTACAAATTTTCTCTTTGTGCTTTTGTGAGCATGCCTTTAGGAAAACTATAAAGTCTTACCTTGGCTCTCTGGTTTTGAAACCACACCTGAACAACACGCACTGTCAGCCCAGTCTCTGCAGCCAGTGTCTCTCTCACCTAGAGGACAGAGTTTTTAATTGTTTTAAAAATCTTAACTTCACAGTGCCAAACACAGCAGCCATACCCTTGAAAAATGAAGTTTGGAAAGCATGACCAGGAGTATCTTGTGGCATACTGACAAGACCAACAACCCACCTTACGGCATGGTTTGGCTGACACTTCAAAGGAGGCCTTGAAAGCACGCCGCTGCTGTGTGGTCAAGATAGTGCGTGGACGTTTTGAACGCTTGTGCTCCTTGCCTTCATCACCACCTTTCCCTCCTCCGGAGCCTCCTCCACCATCCTCATCCTCACTTTTTACTGAGCAAGTTAAGTAAACAATAGCACAATCAGAACAACGCTCTGCAAACAGTGACATTTGAAACAAATATTTTCCATGTAGTTTACAGTAACAGTTTGTTCCTTCTCATGGAAGAAAATGGTACTGTTTAAATTACTTTCAACATACTGCTGAAAACTATCCTCACTATTTGAAATTCAATAATCGCGCCTTCATTTAAAATTTTTAAAAAGGAAGAAGCTTGAAACTTTTTTCTTTTTTGTTTTTTTCTTGAAACTGCTTTTGTCCTAAATATTAAGGTTTTTCTTTCAAACACTGTTTACTCATTTAAAGGGGATGAAAATGATTGATTTTGACTAAAGGCATGAGTGTAAAAAGAAAGATTATTTCCCCAAGAAAAGTAATTTTGACCTTTATTATGTATCCTCCGCAGAAACCTGCTTTACCTGATTCAGTTGGTGTAGGGCTGATGGCAGCCAGCATTTCCCTCTCCTTTTCATAGTCCATGCGGCAGAGCAGCTGGCCTTCTTTCAGCACAAACTCATCACCTCTCTGCAGCCGACGTTCACACTCACAGCAGCTGAAGCAGCCCAGGTGGTATACCTGGCCTAGCACACGCATTATCAGCTCAGAACGTCCAATGACTTGCAAGCAGGCACTGCACTTTCTTACAAAAAGCCTGGAGGGGCACAGAAACATACACACGTGGGCTTATATTTTCATGGATACATCCATAAACTGTGAAACATGGCATGATAACAGTCTAGCAGCTTAGAATAAGAAGTAAATTAATTAAAGATGGCAGCACAAACAAGAAGCTCTGACACATTTACCCTTAGCGCCAATGATTCTGGAGATTAGCATAGTCTCTTAATTAAAGGTCCTATAAGCATTACCCAATTCACAGTGCAACAAGGTGAACATCTGTTAGATGGGTTACAGTAGTCTGTATTATTACATTGTTTTTTATTTTTAACATTCTCACAGTAGGGGGCAGTAGTTAGCTTCTTAAAAAGATGTCTGTGAAGAGTTTTTCCCCATTTAAATCCTTAAATGTTAAGATTTCCTTGGTGAAGTGAACTCCACTCTGTCCATATATTGCCCACAATTTATGTATTTAACTCAGTGAATAAAGCTTAAAACAGTCTTTCTCAGGTCTATTACTTTTCCCCATGACCACTTTCCTTCTTTTGTCCCCCCATCTCTCCTCCTGTGCTATGTTACAACCCCTAACTTTCTCTCCCACATGACAATCTCTTGCACATCCCTATTTCTATTCACAGGGCCCAAATCTATGCCATTAAATTCCTCTCAAATCCCTGCTCTTGCACTTGGTTTCCTCCCCTTCCCTCCTCAGTATTCAGTACTTTCTGCCAGCATTCCCAGTTCTCCCTCATGCCCTCCCAGCCTGCCTCCCCAGTTCACTGAAACTAATAAAGACAGGATTAATTAGATTGTTGTTTAAACAGTGAGATGGCCAGACAGACGCTGTAAACTCATAACCAGGGATTGGGGATAGCATGGGGTTAATCTCTCTCCTCTCACTTATGCACGCACACGCGCGCGCGCGCGCACACACACACACACACACACATGCACATATGCACGCACACACACACACACACACCATCACCACATTTGCACACACTCACCCACCGAGTATCAGTATATATATATTTGGATAGTTACTCACATTCACCATATCATCAAAGCAGTGGTGCAACACATCTATGATTAGGAAATATTCTTGATCGTCATTACAATTCTTCAGTGGGAAAAGTTACGAGGAAGCCTGAACATGGGTGTGAAACAGATAAAGGTTGATGTATACAGAAATAGCAGCACAATGGAACACAAACCCTGTTGAGAAAGGAGGGAGGATGGGAAGGGAGGGAATGGGGGGAAGAAGGGATGAAGACTGAAGTGTTGACGCTCCCTGACTGAGTGATAGGAAGGTGTTGCTGCCCAAATCTGGAGAGTAAAGAAGGAGCCAGGTCTGCACATTAGAGCTCCTAATCTGTGATTCTGTCCCAAACGCAGCTGCTACAGCTAATCTTTCTCAATCCATCTGCCAAACGCTCCCCAAATATCCCCAAATGACAGTGTCGCTAACTTAACATCATAAAGCAAACACAATACTCCTATAAGCAACCATACAAAGACTATTATGATAGGACCTTGTGTTTGACTAAATGTTGCTTAAATTACTTAGTCACAGTAACATTACATTGCATTTTAGAAAGATGCTTCCACTGTAAAATTCCTGCAATAACACACATGTCAATCATAACATGTGGTACAGAACATGCATGCTACAAAAGGGCGCAATCATCACACCGCTCTGCACAGCCTCACTCTCAGCATTTCAAATACGTCCTTTCATTGGGAACAAAAAACAACAAAACAGAATCGTCAGGGTTGCTTGACACAAGATTGATGAGGTTGGTGGTTAAGTCCCACACTCCCTAATCAGGGGTGTACACAGCACGGTAGGAATTTACTCAACATGGCAAATAAAGGAAACTTGGGGCAACTGCCACAGAGGGGGGTCTGTAAGTAGATCAGCATAATCCCTCTAATAGAAGTATCATTCACACATGGGCCTGACCAGGGTGCAGCTTCCAAAAAATCACTACGGGCATGACGGATAAAGAGCAATCATACGATTAAGGTGAATTTAACTTTACAGGATTTGTACATTCTAGTCAAACATGGCCACACATGCAGCCCAGGTTCCAGTGCTTGAGTAAATTTGTCAAATTCATCTTGAGTTCTTTATTTTAAATCATTAAAAATAATAAGTCTCTATGGTATGGGTTAATATCTGTATTTTTTCTGGTATGGTGGGTGTTACATAGTTATTTATGTTCTTAATTTTGTTTTAACTTTTTAATGTGTACAATTCAAAAAAGTGAAAACTAGAAGTCAGACAGCTGATGTATATTAAGGAACAGCTGTGCTGAAAGCTAAGCGAATAGATAGTTAAAAAAAACCCTCTTTGCTTTGGATTTAGACAGCTTTACTTTAATGAAGTAATATAATGATATATGCGCGAATGCGTAGAATAGAGTTGCAAGTGCTCACAGGAGGCTGAAGGTAATGATCAACCTTTAGAGCGTGTGATGTACAAAACATTATAAAGACTGGCTCTAGGCAACTTTATGCTCAATGCCATGGATTTTGGAGGGGTTACGGGGCATGGCTAATTACAAGCTCACTGATTACGAGATCAAGTGTAGAGAGGCAGAAAAAGGTGCTGTATTGTAAGTATTGGTATAATCAGGTCTTTCCCTTTTGTTTATTGCAGAGCCTAGGCATACAAACATCACAACACAATCTTCATCACCTCCCTAAGCTGTGTCATGTGGCATTGTTTTGCCTGAGAGCTGTGACAAGCATGACATTGTCTGGTCTGCAATACAATCATTCCATAAATATGTATGTGTCTCAGAGCAACTGCAGTTGTTGCACTTGCTTTCATAACTGATGAATATTTATACAGGTATAGGTTTGGTTATACTAACTCTCTTTTTAAGGAGTTTCTCTTATTGCACTAAGCTTTGGTCTTTTGGTCACCAAGACCAAAAGAACCTAACTTAGATAAATTTAACTTTCACCACCAAGGATCCACCACCATTGTCACTCATTTTGATTTTTGACCTATAGTTTAAGATGGATCTCTTTCTCACAAGGTGTGATAAGCAGAGGTTTAGATGTCCTAGCTTGTGATTCCCACATATGTGACCGTAGTGTGCGACAATGAAGGTATAATAGAAGATTCACGTTACAGATGCAAAAAGTACAAATGATATGCATCAATCTTAGTTTTAAGTTGTATTCTGTTTAGTATCAATTTCTTAGATGTGTGTGGAGTGTGTGCGTTTGTGTGTGTGTGTCTGTGTGTGTGGAATTGTGTGTGTGCACTTTTGGCGGATATTGCTCTGTGAAGCAAAATGGCTCAGAGCCAGGGTTCAGTAATCACATCATCTCCTTTTATTAAATCTCCCTGCACTGCTTCTGTGTTATTAAAATCTCCCAGCATTCCCCACGATACTTGCTACCCTGCCACCACTCACTCACACTCTCATAGAGAAATACACAGGTTTAAAGATATATATATCTATATCTATAGATATAGATATAGATATATATAGTAAAGTCATGCATACAAACACACGGATATATACAGCCGCATGCACACATAAACACAAATATGCACAGTTAGTGTAAACATAGATAAGGTGCCTGGGTACAAACATCAATAAAACGGTGACAGATGCTGCATCTGTGCACCACGTCCATCCATGCATCAGTGCAGTAACAAGGTCAATGCATGCTCTAAAAATGTGCAACATGTATATAATACTTGCTATCCAACGGACACAAGGGCCAACAGTACATAGAATAGATCTTTAGAGGTATTTGTGCACACTGAGGCAGTCCCACAGTTATAAAGTTACATGTTGTGACTCTTGCAGTAAATCTTGGTAATGACCAGCTCTACATGAGAGCAGCACTGATGTATATAATATTCAAGACTTTTCCTGTGTAAAGTAACAACCAAATACCTGCACGATGTGCATGGTCTCTGCATGCATGATATGTGTCTCTGGGTGTGTGGCTGTGAGTTACACCTGATGCTACCAAGAATGAATGCTATGTGTCAGGATATAGATGTGTGTTTGTGTGTGAGTGAGTGGGTGTGTGTTAGTTTAGATAAAACAGTTAATCCCCAGGCCACCAGAACGCAATATCCTGTCTGCCCGTTTCTCATTTCCTGTCTGTCTCTGGCGGAGCGGGAAGCAGCGGGGAGGGGGTGGCGGGGGACAGCGGGACCCGTTGCCCCAGAAACAGGAGATACAGCCGGTCGATTTGCGAGAAGTCTACGCCGATCTCCCTATCTCTCCCTCTCTGGTGCGACCCCCTATTCGCACTCTCTTTTTTCCTCTCCCTCTCTGCTTTTATTATCTCAGATTTAATAAAGCTGAGGCGAGCAGCTTGTTCTGCCATGAAACATTTATTAGCTGTCTGTTATAAAATTGTTGTGGGGGAGGAAAGATGATGGGGTCTCATCTCACATTATGCAAAAACAGTGGCAATATCACCCCCTCACCACCACCACCATCACCATCTACACACATACGCAGACAAAAATTTGCCCTGGCCTGAAGCCGTTCTGTCCTTAAAACTCTCCCACACCTTGTCCTTTCCTTCTTTAACCCATTTTGAACCCTTTCTCCATCAGTGACAGTTCTCCCTGATGCTCTTTCATTTATGCCATCAAATCAGACTGTTTTTCAACAGCACACCATCAAAGCTCAAAAACCCATCCATCCGCACTTTATTCTCATCTGGCAAACCTCCAACCATCATCTGTTGAGCTGCAGGTGTAGCTAATATAAGACTCTTAGGTGAGAGAGAAGTACTTCAACTTTTGAGCATTGCATGTGTATATGATGTACAGCCAGAGCAGAAAAGCTACATTTGCCTTCACCAACAATGAGCTATAAACCTTACTCTCTCTGAGCTGAAATTTCCAGTTATTTAACCTAAAATTGCTCAGATTTCTGCCTCCACCCTCACGCTGTCATGGTTTGGTTTCTACAAAGACAAATTATTTTGTCTTCTCCTTTGTCAAAGGGATTTCATAGTTATAGCCAAATAAGTCCAAAATATCAAACTCTGTTGTGGCTGACATGTTTTAAAATGGTCAATGGTTTTTTTTCTTTTACGTTAATAGTGACTCATTTTAGGCTTATAGGAATAAGGGTTTGTATTTCCACTGACATATCATTGCATAATTATCTGTAATAGTATTTCCCTGCAGCCCAGTATCAGACCTGTCAACCCAGGACAGCCAGAGCTGGGCAATTAGCACTGTACCCAATCAGCCACCCTGCCACCTCCTCCTATTCCCCTCCTGAGAGACAAAGGAGCACTGGAGGGGGGGGCGATTAAGAGAAAACAAGGGATAAACGGGGAGATAAACTGTTTGGTGTCATCGCTGCTATCAATCTCAACAAGAAGGAAATGAGGTTTGGAATAGAGAAATATTATTACAAAGCAGACAGTGATGAACGAGGTAACCGATGGAGAGATAGGGAGCGAAACGGTTGGTGGGGTGGAGGTATAGAAGGGAGAATGGGTAAAAGATGTGATTTTTAACCTCAGACTTAGACGTTCACTCGCATAAATGCACTGAGAGGATACTCTTTCAGGTCGTTAGTGTTAGACTCATGTCTAACTACTCAGTCAGCAGAGGATGATTCTATAGCTGTGGCCGCTAGGCCTCCCTCTCTATGTCTGTGGTGAGAGGGTTTGTAAACTTAGATGTAGTCTCTGTGCCCTCCACCCCACAGCGTGAGGCATTAAACTCAAGGTTTAGTGAATATCCACTCTTGTGACCTGTTTTTCACAGAGCTGGAGCTGCCTTTATGTGGCTTTCAAGGGAGTTTGGAGGCTTCTCACAGCCAGACTACCCTCAGCGCTGTTTGGGTTCAGTACTATTGAGAAGAGAACACTTGTTTTATAATTGTCAATTTGACAAGGAATCATAATAACCAGTTTTAGGATTATGCCTAAACAGCTTTAAAAAAAAGTCTGTTTTTAGTTTAATTGTAATTATATTAAGATACAGTACAACTAGAGTGCTGTACTATTAATAATTTTGTCAGAAAAGTAACATCATTGAAAAATTCCATTTAAAGTTTTATAAAATTATCACTTCCTAACTTTTTCTAGCCAGATTTGTATAACTGTCCATTGTGCCAGTAAATGGAATGTATTGCGCCTGTGCGTAAAAACAACCTTAAGGGAATTTGTGTGCAGCAAAGTCTTATTCTAGTGCCTCATGTTGAACATCTGGTCCATAACAGGATGGAGTTCCAGAGAATTTCTCAAGGTTTCAAAACAAAAATAAATCCACAAGAAAAATCCACAAGATGCACTTGAGTTGTGTCTAAATCCCTTCATTTCCATAACAGATTGAGACCAGGGAAACTTAAAACTGGCACTACTAAAAAGGCATACCTCCAGTTTTATTTTATTTTATTTTTGTTTTATTAAATAAATACTTAATGTGAATGAGAGTGACATACTTAAGATTCAATGAGGGTGGTCTGAGGCATTCTCAGAACCGAGCAGACTATGATTATGGTTCACCTGCCCCGCAACCCCAAATACATAAATAAATAAATAAGATGTTTAAAAAAATCATCAGATATTTTGAAACCTTATATTGACTTTTTGATAATCAGTGTACAGTAATACAGAAGCAATGTATCCTTCAAAAGCATTAAACATGCAAATGTTGAACAAACCTTTGCCTTGGAGGCAGTTAACGCCACACGAATCAGGGTGGAGGATGGGTAACATTTGAAAATTTGATTTCCTTTCTCATTTGAATCTGCGTGTGTTTTCTTTTTCGTGAAGACCAGATAGATTAATTAAAAACATATGCCTACCCACAAATACATTTTGTATTTGTTTCTTTTTCATATATTAAAAGAAAGCTATGATTAAAAAAAGCACATGCACCATGCACTGTTTGGTCTGGTCTGTTTGTGACTAAAAAACATATATTTGGACTAGCCGGAGATAGTGCACAAGGAAGACATCCCAATATTAAAAACCCAAGCCTGATTGCAAAATGCCATTTTTCAATTAATGCATTACATTCACATATTTTTCAGTGAATTCAGTTTTTTTTTAACTCCTTACAATTCCTGACAAAGTAAACTCATCAGCATGCAGTGACAGCACTGAAATGATGTGCATTTTCCTGTCTGAAGCAGGATTTGAGTATCCGTACCAGGATGTGGATATGGATACTCAAATCCATATCCTGGTATCCACTAATAATTGTACAAATTCCCCTAAAATTCTTATGCACATTCCAAATTCTTGGACATGGTTATCACACACCTGCTCTAGATGGAGGTGGTGGGGGTGTAGAGTAAAGCGCTGATGGACAGACTGCTGGGAAAACAAGGAGACATTGTTGCCTATCCACTGAAGGTCACGGGCATAACTGTGTGCCAAGTCTGGCACCGACTCACACAACAAGGCAACAAGGCATATGCAATGTATAGGGGACTAAATCAACAACATAGTGAATGAGCCTCTGACTATTAATTTGGATCTGCAATTACAGTCATTACACAGTGAGAGCAAATATACTTTTTCATTCCATCACTGAAAATGAGCCCAGTTCTTCAGTTATGGTACTACTGCCTCCAAGTTTCCCACTCATTTTTCCAGATAAACGTCACACAATGGACTTTCATCACAGTCCCCGTCCCCCCCCCCTCTCTCTCCCTCACTCTCCTCCAGATGTCAGGTACAGTGGGAGAGTCTGTGCTGCTGGATGCCGTCTGACACTTTTCATAACAATGATAACAAGCTGCAGACTCGTCCTTAAGCTGTCCATCCCTGGAGCTTCCTTTGCAGGCACACCCAGTGACCACAGCACACACAAAGCAGCCAAAGTTAAAATGTAGAATGGCCACAAACATGTACAGTGGAGTGAGCCATTAAAGAAAAAAAATCTCTGAACTTTTACATTGCAATATATTGTAGTGTGTCCAGATGCTGTACTACAAGGTACTGAATAGCAGTGGCAAGGGCTGTTGGTTCAGTTAAGATTGTAAATTTAAAAACAAGGGAAATAGACTTTGCCTTTGTGAAACTACTAGATCAATAAGCAAAAATAAGCTATAAAAACTGCTACTGCATACATTCAGTCAGTTTTCATATCTTATATTGGTTGTGGCTCAATTCCAAAAATGTGAAATTGTAAGCACACTGACCCTCTGGGTATCTTGAATTTAAGTAAAGCCACATAGGTTTGACACACAAATCCAGCATTGTCTATAATGATAGATGTTTCGGATTGAATGTGGATTTTCAATTTAAAGGCCCATGTATTTTTACACAAATTTCTGTTATAGAAATTTGCAAAGTTTTTTTTTCCAAACATTAGTACAACATGTAGCCTGTATTTGCTACTCTCATTTCTCAACTTCATAAGTCTTCCTCATCTCTAAACTAAGTCGTTAAAGTTTCATTAATATTATTTAACCAGATTTGTTCAGTGTGAGGATTGATTTATGTGCAGGTCATTTGTACAGTCTAAATAATCTCCTTTCTTGACACCTACATTAATTTTTCAGAATTAAAATCACACGTGCTCTTGCAGTGATTAACATTTTACTACATCTTTTGTTGGCACATTGATAGATGCTGTTAAGTCTAACAAAAGACTTCCAGTAGATGTAAAATATGAAAGACGTGTTCCTCATCTGTTTTAAACAGAAGTTCAACTTCACTGTTCTCTCTCTCACTCTCTCCTTGTGTGTGTGTGTGTGTGTGTGTGTCAGTAACACAATAATATCACATCAGCAAATGTTACAAGATTAGTATGTCACTATACTTATATAACAATTACCTCTCAATTTGAAGTCCCAAAACCTGTTTAGCTTGGAAACAGGAGACTGGCTAACATCAGTTCAGTTTGATTGAGTAGGCAAAACTAAAATGTTTAAAATAGTCTCCATAAGTAAACTTACTCTGACCAAATTGAGAATTATAATTACATTTCAACGTACAATAAACTTTATTCTTTCCATTATTATGAAACTGTATTTCTTTGCAGATTATGTAAATTATTTTCAGCACGAGATAAAGCTTGTTTTAGTCACAGGGAATTTCCCAACCTAAATTTGTAGGCTGTGTTATCCTTGAACTGACAGTATGTGTATGTCTGTGTGTGAGCATGCGTGTTTGTGAGTGTGTGTTTTTACTTTTCATAGTCGTGCTTGCAGTACAGCAGGCGGTCCCGGCTGTAACAAGTCCCAGTGAGCGCGCTTAAACACACGGCGCACTTGACACAGGTCTCGTGCCAGGAACGCTCATTCACGCGCAGCAGGAAGCGGTCGGCGATGGGAGACTCGCAGCCCGCACACACCTCTCCTCCTCTGTACTCTGGACCTGAAGGGAACATATCAAAGCATGAACAGAGAGATTGAGAGAAGGTAAAAGCCAAGATACTGGCCAAGTTTCCACAGTGTAACTCCAGCCTTATAAAGTAGCATGCTTCTAAATTTCCCTGCATCATGGTCATCGATAATGCAATAAAACACGTTTTATTCAATCGACCAACGCGTGTGTATACTGTGTGTATATGCAATCGTTTGTATATGCAATCTGCCATAGAAAAACCGATGTTCTCTTTCGCATGGATGGAAAATGACAGGCGCATACTTCGCACAAAAGTTTATGGCAACCTCGGTGTTGGATATTAATTTTCTCAATCAAAAATCTGGATATTTAACATCTGGATATTTGTTTATTTCATTCCTATTTCGACTTTATGTGAACGATCATCTTGAATTATTTACATTTAAAAACAGTTGATCTTGTTTTTATTATATTATTATTTTAATTCTTACGTTAGGGTAACATAAGTCATATGTTACAACATATGATAACCTTGGCTTTGTTGCATTTTGTTCCTCATAGGGTAAGCCCAGTATTACGATAATAGTCTAATGTTGTGTTGGTTGTTAAAAAACTGAATCAATATTATATTTTATTTATTTATTTATTTTTAAATAATATTTTTTTTCTATTATAATCTTAGGCCTGAATGTCTATAGGATCCTAAAAACGCGGACAAAATGGACAGGATCAAATGCTTTGATATTCTTATTTGTGGTCTTCATGATTTTCATAGATGATAAATTAATCCAAAAAGCTCATCCTGTGATTATTATTCTCACTGTATAGTGTATCGGCTGTCGGACTTACCGAAAGGCGTGGAGGATGGAGGCTGCTGCAGACAGGACTGCTGGCTCTCCTCTGTTTTCATCCCTTCTCTCCTCCCCTCAGTGTGATCGCTAGAGACAAAAATGAACCATTTCTATCTAAAATATCAGTGGAACCATGCTATAGTAAATCAACCTAAAAATAAGGGGATTGGTAAGAGAGACGTTTTTATTTTTTATTTCATTATTTTATAATAGGACTGTCTATGCCACCATTATTTAAAATCAGACTGAATCAAAAATACACACCTACAGACTGGATTGCACAAGCTTATTAATTGCAGGAGAAAAAAACACGATAAAAAAGAGAATTTGAGAATGTTTCTCTTCTAACAAAAATTCTAATTGAAAGGGATTTTTTACGAGCATCAAATTGTATTTCAAACTTTGCAATAAGCTATAACTTCTGCATTATATATTCTACTTCTAATGGTGCAAGGCAATTTCTATGTATCGTGCATTTTATGGTTTCTTTTAAGAAATAATAACAAATTAACAGTTCTAATGCAAAAAATGTAAGACAAGCAAAAAATACATATTTAGATTTATATTGGTTTAAATTTAAAATTTTTGTGTTGAAATTATTTTAAACATATATATATATATATGATCAGGTTAATTGTAAAATGTGCAATGTTTCCATTTTATTCTTTACAGAATTTTTTTTAAAAAAATGACCCGTTTAATCAAAACGGATAACGAAAAGAGAAACTTTTCGGACGGCATTTTGTATTCTACTAATTTACCTGCTCAAACAAACAAAAATGAAAGAGGACAGAAAAAACAAGCAAAAATGGCGAAAGACTCAAATAAAAATAAATTAGTTGTGGAAACACTGACGAAAACTTTCTTTGATGTTTTTCTGCAGGCTGGAGTTTCTCAGCACTGGTGTCACCAGATTCTAGTGTTTTGTGTAAAGTATAATAATATAATGATAGTCTATATTTTAAATGAATAACACACTAGATTTGTGTTTGTTCTTATTATTGCGATAATTGTAAGGAACCCTATTGATTTCTACATTTGAGGGGCCTGTGGGGTGAACCTGTAAAATACAGGGAATATAAAATGGATTGTTGCCTTAGAAAGTGAAGTAATTAGATAACACCAAATGACTTATGTAAATACAACTAATCTGATTTGGCACTTTTCCTAATTGCGGGTTGAATACATTCATGACACACTTGTGTAAAGCACCAATAATTACACGTCGACGCTAAAAGCCGGTGCTGTGATCATCAATATCGAAGTAATAACGATTTCTGGATTTCCCGCAAGTCACCTGGAGCTACAATTAAAGAAAGCAAAACTGTCATATTTATGAGGATGAACAATGTTTTCTTTAAAGCTGAATGTTAACTGCATTCAAATTAATGCTAAGAAGCCAATCTCTGTTTAATGCAACAAACAGTCTTTCTGTTTTGAGAGATTTGTTTACAAGCTGTTTGTAATAAATAGCTGGAAACTATGAAAAGTCAGACCTTCCCTCGTGCCATCAAAAGTAAAAGACAAAGTTGAGTTGTAGATGTGATTGCTGAATTCAAGTCACGTTAAAAACTACTGTAAACGAACATAATAATAATAATAATGATTATTATTATAATACTCTAAAAGCGGCTTGCAGTCTGTAAAGCAGCTGGTTCCCTTTAGCATCATATTTTTAGGACTATTTCACATGCTTGTGCCAATCCATTAAAGATCGAAGATCATAAAACATAACAGACAGCAAGGTCATCAGGATTTAATCCTTTATCCCGTGTATTTGTCAAAAGACCCCTAATAATGTTGGATCTAAGCACGCGCTGCTGCTGGAACACGAAATGCACATCAATTCAAGCAACACGGTTATTTGGAAATCACGAGGCTGCCTTCAGTGACAACCTGTTCTTGAGTTGCGGAGACCTACCTTGAGGTGAAACACACTCCTCCTGAAATCTCGGTTGGCAACATTAAAACCTGGGGAAACTTTAGACTAGTAAATGAACAGACGCGATCGCAGATTATCCACCTGTACCTCACAAAGCGCCGAGCATGTTGCCTACGGTAAAAATCCAAATACCATGATGACCCGAAGTACTGCCTATTGTCTCTCCTGTTTTCTCCGGCAGCCGTGTGTGCGCTCTGACTTGTTTTGTGCGTAAAAAGGCGCAGAGGGAGGAGATGGACAGAAAAGGAGGGAGGGAGAAGGTGCGGAAAATGATGAGGGAAGATGAGTGATAATACAGCCTATTGATAACTCAGATGGGGAGGATCTTTTGCATTTGTGCTCACGGTTACACGGAAACTTAAAAGGGCACAGCTAAGGTGAAACAACTTGTGATGACATATCAGCCCCTTTCACACAGGAAAACATATTTAAGTTTTTGTTGTATTATACACCAAAACTGTCTGAGTTTGATGCAAAAATATCAAAAGAACAAAGCCGAATGAAGATGATATCACTTTACTCCTTCTAGACATCAGGAAATGTTGCTTCACTCCATTTACTTACACCAGGCTGTAAAATCAAACAGGTGCAGGCACTAAAATGCTGACATGGAAGTAAAAAAAAGTGTCATGTCCAAACGCAGAGCACTGAAATTAAAGATAAAAGGTTTATTGCCTTTTCACTATTGTGTCTGACATGCTTTTCCCGCATACTGAGAGAGGACCGCCCCCTTGTGTTAAAACAAGAAAGGTGCATTAAATGATCAGTGTTAGGGTCAAGGACACCAGTAAAGGCATATATTTGTTTACAGACTATAACATTTTTCATTTATAGGCAATAATATATTGGGAAAGCACAACAAATGTAAAACAGCATTATATTGATGACACTGCATTTTACAAATATTCATTACAGTTTGTTCGGGTCAAAACCGTTATACTCAGGTGCTAGTTTGTATCTTTTCACCTCGCCTACTAATTAAGTCAAAATACAAGAGCTAATTAAAAAAATAATATATAAACTTCTCATGTGTGGTCTGTTTAGTGAACTGCTGGATTATCAACAGACCAAAATCTAAAGAAGATTAAGTGTTAATCCAAGCAGGCACCAGGATTGAACTTTTCCATGTGTTTCATATGTTAGTTCAGTAGGTTTGATGACTAAAGACTTTGTGTTCCTGTGGTGACATTTGCACCTAAAATGTGGATGTATTCTATTCATAATAAAGGCATAATAATGGTAATATTGACAGAAGCATTTGTTGTTACATACAATAATGGTCATATTAATGATGTCCTTTGCTGTATGTGAAATCATTCCAGTGAACCATCTGCAGATTTGTATCTTCCCTCAGACAAAGAGCTGCTCATCCTTCCCTGAGTGGCTGCGTCTCAGCCTTAGACCAGACAGGATCTTCTGGGCTGGTGAGGTAACCTTTTTCTCAACGGGAATTGTCTTTGGTGACGAACACAGATGGTGATAATGTCCAGTACTCTGCTTGTTATTGCTCTGATTTATGTTGCGATTTGCTCGACATCCTCCTGCCACCTCTTCAGCAGCCTGCGTTTCACTGGATGCTGTAGAAGGTGAAAGTGGTGCATATGTAGAGTCCAAGCCCAGCATGTACTGCACAACCTCACGGGGGCTTAGTGGGGCATCCATTTTATTCTCTGTGTCAGTAGTCACATGCTGGGGCTCAAGAATGCCCTCATAATGGATATCTATGTCTCGAGAAAGTCTTTGTGCCCCTGGCTCTGGAGAAGAGCTGCGACTGCTGTCTGCACTTCCTGTGTGGCCCCTCAGTTGAGGTGCAGCCTGTCTGGCTGCACATGCTGGGTTCGAGACTCGGGTTCCTGTATTATGATGTCGGTGATACTTCACAGGCTGTCTGGTGAAACGGTAGTATGGCTGGACTCCTAAATCAGAGGTAGCTTCTCCTACCATCTCACCCTGAGGATCACTTGATACATCTCTCATAGCCAGGACTGGAGCAGTAGAAGGATAAGCATGTGATTCACAAAGTTAAGCATTTCCAACACCAGTTATTGATTATTTTGCTTAAAAAAAACAAAATCATTCTATATGATATATAGTGCAACTTGACTTGAAATCGAGGACTTTTGAAGCTGCTGTTTTAGCAACAGAGAAGAGAGCCTCTAAGAAACACAGCGAAAGTACAGAAAGCAAAGAATGGTTTGAGCCTCAGACTTTCCAAATCCCCAAACTCCAAAATCTAACTTTGTGTTGTCCAAATTCATACAAAAACTCAAATGTCAAACTGCAAATTCCAAAAGAAATGATCATAATATAATTAAAATCACAAGAATTAATTCATTAATTCCACAAAGACTATCCCCCAAAAAAATTACTCAACCGAATTCAGCCACTTTTACTGAATAGCAACATATGAGGAAGTCCTACTTCTAAAGATAACTGGATGATGTACGCAAAGTAATTAAAAAAACAGACATTTTAAGTATTCTACACCTACAGAATCTCACGCTTAGAAACACAAGCTACTTTGTAACTGTAAATTAGAACCAACCCCCTGTGTGCAAGAAATTAAGCAAAACACTTGGGAGCTGTTTGGTAATACCTACAAGAGGATTGTTTAAGACATGTCCTCAAGTAGCAAAACTACAAGCTGACACAAGAGAGAATTCATTGTACTTGGCAACTGAAAATGTCAACATCTTTAGGTTTCACAGGACATAGACACAGTGGATAAATTAATTTGCTGACCTGCTCTAGTCAGGAGTAACTTCTCTATCACTATGCCCCGCCTACCTGCTCTCTCACTGGCTTCAGCGCTGAGCTGGTCCACTGCCTCATTGGATGAAGACTTGTCAGATATATAACCCTCGCTTGACTCTCTCTTGATTCGATTCTGCTGGAATGACACAAGTTGAGTGGTGGATTACAGACCACATCTAAACCTGCAGCACTGCATTATTATAGGATTCCTACCGGGGGAATGACTACTTGGGATGAGTCTTTTTTATTTTTGTTTTTTTTATTAGGTACAAATATAAAAAGGTTTTACTCTCCTAAAGAAAGGTGATATCCTTTTTGTGTTTTAATTCTTTTGATGCAACCCAGCTAAAACCCCACAATTAGGTGAACTTAAAAAATTTTTTTTTACAGGAAAGAGCTGTGTAAAGCAGAAAGTAAAAGCTAGAAAGACGGTCATGCAGGCCAGAGTGCAGAGGGCAGGAGAAATGCAGCAGTGTGCGTGAGGATCTTGTTAATCCTGATGGAAAAAACGTGAGGTTAAGGTGGCAAGTGTTAAGGCTCTTAAAAAACTGGTAAGTGTGTTTACTCTCACATGGTGTGAATGCTAAGCAACTGCTGCTTAAAAGGGAGCAGTTAAAAATTAGCCATAGATGTTTAAAGCGCACTGAAATACTTACTTCTACTGAGCGTGGCCGCTCTCTGGACGTGGTTTCATTTTCTGAGTCGAGATAAGCTACCCCATCCAGGGGGCAGGAACCTCTGGGAGGGGTGTCAGGAAGAGGTGCAGTAGGGGGTGGAGGAGGGGGTGTATCGGATCCCTGCTCCAGGCCGAAAATTTTGTCGTGGTGTGTGATGAGGAACTCAACAAGTACAGCCTGGTAGGTGGTCTCCAAGAGGGCAATCATTGACATGTCTGTCGACACTAGAGGGCGCAATAACGTTGGCCCAAAAACAATGCCTAAATTGCTGGGAGACATCTTGTTCTCGTAGTTTTCTGAAACTCTGTAAATAAACACATGAGACAAATTCAAGGACAGCTTAAGTTAAATTTGACTTAGAAGTCAAAGTCAGTGGTCCAGTATAGAAATAAGTAAATGTCATCTATCAGGTTTAGGCCAAGTTAAACTAGAGAGGTCTGTAGTGCCAGAGCATGCTCACCTTTGAAGATGAGATACAAGATGCTGCAAGGTGCTGTAGCAATATGGAGGAAGTCTGTGTAGTAGCTTTTGCAGGTTCTCAGTGATATCCATTATCTCATTAGTCTCTGGTGACGTCTCCCCATCATTCAGGTGCTGAATTGCTTTCCCCACCGCAACGAAATCATTGTACAGGTCAAAAGTTAGTAAGGGCTCAGGCAGCTGCAAGAGATAATATTGAAAATATTCAGTGCGATATCAGACAAAAAATTACATCTCTTGAATTGTGCAAAAATGAGGTTTGTATTTTAATATCTCCTTTACCTCCTTAAAGAAGTGCTTAAGGATAGAGGTGATGTCATGTGGTGAGAGGTCCGAGAGGTCCACTTGCTCTTTTTGTGTTTCAAAGGCATGGCAGAGCTTCTGAATGCGAGGCTTGGACCCACTCACGCGATACACACCCTAACAGAAATGATTATTAGATCACTATTCATACTTGACAACCAATGTATTTGTACCAGTGTGAGGATAAATAATACCTGGACAGAGAGAGCACGGCTCTCAATCTCAGATGTGCAGAGAATCACTACAAAGGGCACCTCATCTGGCCTGTCACGTGGCAGCAGAGAGAGGTCCACTCCAAACACCGATCCCTTCTTATGCTCACATTCTAGCTGACACACCTCCATACACTTCCTGTGCAAAGCTAGGCCACACTGAATGTGAGATAGAAAAGAGCTAATCTCATTAATAATCTCATGAAAGACAGTTTTCTGCCCATGTTACAATATATTCATCAAATGTGTAATCATACCTCTTCACATTCAACTCCACTGACAACAATATAGTTGTCACACTGCTTGCATTTGGCCATTTTGCTTTTCATTTTCTTGAGTCGATGTGATAGTGCAGCTCGCGAAACCTGTGGCACTTTGGCTGGCTGACTATCATTGTACTCTGGAGGAAGGTGGAGAAGATAGATTTATTTGCCAGCCAGGGATCAAATAAAAAATATACTCTATTAACATATTCTGTTCATGAAAAGAAAAGGAGGTAAGAACCTGATTCATCCCGGTCATCTAGGTCGTCTGATGACACTGTCAAAGTGGATGCGGTTTTACCCTGCCTCCTAGCTTCAGTTATATATTCCAAATAAAGCAAAAACACAGTTAATTTTTTTTTTTTTAAAGTTCCACAAGTTTCGAGATGCATGTACTGTAAATTAAAAGTTAGATACAAAAATGTAAGCCTGTGCCTACCAGGGCTAGACAGGGACTCCGAACTGCCTCCGATGCTCTCACTGTCACTATATCCAGTTTTCCCTTAGGTGAACCAACACACAAATATTATTAAAGAGAAAGATTTTTTTTTTATATAAAAAAGTATAATTAGGTGGAGCCCTTACTGCAATCACTGGATCGTCGCAAAGGACTATCATCTGCCATGAACGAGTCTGGCAGAGTGTTCAGAGCGCTGGTTTTTCTTTTGTTGCTTTAAAGAAAAGAAGTTATTGAAACAATTATTTTAATAAGTAAATAGGTGGAATATATCAAACATGTTTTCTATCCTATTTTATGACAAGGATATACACTCAAATACATCTGTCCCTACTGACACATGTTTATATGTTCACATTTATATTTAAAAACATG